CAGACATGCAGACAGAGAGAGGTACAGTCAGACATGCAGACAGAGAGAGAGGTACAGTCAGACATGCAGACAGAGAGAGAGAGAGGTACAGTCAGACATGCAGACAGAGAGAGAGAGAGGTACAGTCAGACATGCAGACAGAGAGAGAGAGGTACAGTCAGACATGCAGATGAGTCAGAGTCAGAGTCAGGCAGACCGCTCACCTGAGAGGGTTGTGGGTAGCTTTGAGGTCAGAGGCTGAGGTATCCATGTGGCCTTTTGAGGCTCCAAACAACCTGCCCAGCCAGATTCTGGGGGTGTCTGCTCCGACACCCCCCGGTCTCCCAGTTAGCTCCTTGCTGGGACTGCGATGGACATCACTGCATGGGGTCTTGAGGTCTGGGGTATCCAGGGAGGTGCCTGAGGGCTCTCCTGGGTGGAGCTGCGGATCTTGAGACAGCTCCTGGGTCCTCACGGAGCCTGTGACCCCCAAGGTCTGGCCCAGCCGCTCCCCCCAGCGCAGCAGAGAGCCCCAGCTGTGTTGAATGGCCTGGCTTGCCTGCTGAGATAACACCCTCCCAACACTAGAGGGAGCTCTCTCTGCCTCCCAGATAAACTGAGATGCAGCCTCTGCCTTACTGTCCACAGGCCCGGGCCCAGGGCTCCCATTGGCTGTCTGCCTGCTGTACCCTGAGCCCTGGTCAGCTGGGACTTCCTTGCTCTTCTGATTGGCTGTACCTGACCTCCCAGCAGTCTGATTGGTCGGGCTCTCTCTCTTGTGCTCTTGATTGGCTGAGGCAGCTGTGCAGTGTTCTTGGTTACCTTGGCCCCCGCCCTGATGGGCTGAGCTGTTTTGGCTGATGTCCCCTTTGGCCGGACTGATTCCGAGCCCTTCCTGATCGGCCCCACCGGCCGGCTCCGGGCTCCGACTGGGCGGGGTCCGGGGGTCGAGGTGATGGTGCTCGAAGAGCAGGTCAAGGTGAAAGGTCAGGAGGGCGAGAGGCTGCAGCAGGAGGAGCAGCTCCTCGAAGAGAGGCTGACAGGAAGTGCGCGCCAGACGCATGAAAGAGGCGGGGCTGTAGTGGGCCACCAGCACGTCTGTGGGCAGGGGCAGACAGAGAGGTCAAAGGGCATCTGCAAGCCAATCAAATTCCTTCAGGTTCGTTCAGCAGGGAGAATGGAAGTGTGTTCGTACCTTCACATGACTGCAGGTGGGAGAGCCAGAAGTCCAGGAGCTTTAAGCTGGAAAAGACAGGAGAGAAGGAATGAGGGAGAGAGGGGGAGACTGAGGGACAGGCGGGGAAGAGCACGGTCACACAGACGTACTTGAGCAGGCCCAGCAGGAAGGCGTTGAAGCGCTGCGAGTTGAGTCTCAGCTGGGGCAGCTGGTCCACGTGGCGCTGCAGGGAGGACAGGGCCTGGGTACAGGGGCCTGGAGAGAGAGACACTCTTCCCTAAATTCAGAAATCTAATCCCAGAGTTCCCACACCTGCCAGAATCACAACGGGTCCCAATCCTACTGGGAGAGGGAGGAGGGAACTCGGTTGAACTGTGATCTCCTGTCCCAGCCTGAGGAACAGTGAGCCTGTTTCCCAATAATGCTCCATCTGTTTACAGTATATGTACATATTTTTTTGATATGTCTTTGTTGTAAATGTCTGTAGATTTTATTTTACTTTTGTTTTCTGTTTTGTTTCATGTGAATTTTTATTTGCTTTGGCAACACTGGTTGTACCCAGTGGTCATGCTAATAAAGCACCTTGAATTGAAATAAGAGACAGGGGGAAAGAGAGAGAGACAGGGGGGAGGGAGACAGGGAGAGAGAGAGACACAGGGCAGGAGACAAGGGGACAGAGACAGGGGGAGAGGAGAGTGAGACTGGAGAGAGAGACAGGGAGAGAGAGAGGGAGAGAGAGAGACAGGGGGAGAGACAAGGGGAGAGGAGAGAGAGACAGGGGGGAGGGAGAGAGAGGGAGACAAGGCAAGAGGAAAAGAAAGGCAGACAGGGAGAGATTGGGACAGAGTTGGTGAACCAGAATTGAAACAATTGCAGAAGACAGACCATACTGAAATCTATTATAAAAAGGCAGGAAGGAGTCTTCTTCTATAACTCTCCTGGGGAGGCACCCCAAGACAGTCAGGAAGAAGTACTGCGGCGGGACAGACACACAGCACAGTACCGGGGCGGGTGGAGGCCTGCACCAGCCCCCAGGGCGAGTTCGGCCTCCGGCCAGCGATGAGGTCACTCTGGTAGGGCTTGAGGCTGTCCGAGAGCAGGCGACACAGAGCCGGACACAGGCACTGCAGGACCAGCCGGCCCACAGAGGGGTTAATACTGCTGTCTCCAGACTGGGCCTGAGAGGAAGAGGAGGTGAGACAGGAGAGAGAGACAGACAGGGAGAGGAGGTGAGACAGGAGAGAGAGACAGACAGGGAGAGGAGGAGAGACAGGAGAGAGAGACAGACAGGGAGAGGAGGAGAGACAGGGAGAGGGGGGGAGGTGAGACAGGGAGAGGAAGATAGCGAGTGAGAGAGGTAGTGAAAGGAGGTGAGATGGAGAGGCAAGAGACAGCCAGAGGGAGAGGAGGAGAGGCGACAATGTAAGGAAAGAGGGGGCAGCAGTCTCACCTTCTGAACCAGAGTCCTGGAGGAGCTGAACTGAGAGAGCACAGCCTCCACTGCCACACTGACCCCGCTGACCAGCGCTGGGGACAACAAAACAGCACTGTTACACACCACCGCACAACTGCACACTGCTACACACTGCTACAAAACAGCACTGTTACACACTGCCGCACAACTGCACACTGCTACACACTGCTACAAAACAGCACTGTTACATACCGCCACACAACTTCACACTGCTACACACTGCTACAAAACAGCACTGTTACACACCGCCGCACAACTGCACACTGCTACAAAACAGCACAACTGCTACAAAACAGCACACTGTTACACACCACCGCACAACTGCACACTGCTACAAAACAGCACCGTTACACACCACTGCACAGGTACACAGTGCATTACACTCACACACTACTGCAACGACTGTGTGTATTGGCACCTTTCTTTTCCTGCAGGCACGGCAGGGACAGCCCCCGGTTTCCTGGAGGGGTCCATGTGCTGCTGGCCATCCAAGCCCCGCCCACCTGCCCCGAGCCGGAGAAGGAGGCGCTCCGAACCGCTGCAGGGAGAGAGAGAGAGAGATGTAAGGGGCTGATGGCTATACCACCCTCTCCTTCCCCAGTCCTGTGACACTGCTGTGTCCAGTCGGCATGATCGGGTTTGTCCTGTGTCAGGTCCAGCCGCCTCACCTCACCCCCAAGGCTGTGGCGTCTGGGTCACTGAATGTCACATTTCATTTTCGGGTCTGATTTGAAACCCCAGCAGACCGACCCACAGGGCAGCATGGAGAACAGAATCTCACACAGCAGAGCTTATAGACACAGGACATTCAGCAGTCCCCACCTTCCGGGACCTGTCCTGGGCCAGAGAGGTCAGAGAGACCCTGTCCTGGATCAGAGAGACCCTGTCCAGGTCAGAGGACCCTGTCACTGATCAGAGAGACCCTGTCCTGGTCAGAGAGACCCTGTCCCTGATCAGAGAGGCCCTGTCCTGGATCAGAGAGACCCTGTCCAGGTCAGAAGACCCTGTCACTGATCAGAGAGACCCTGTCCAGGTCAGAGGACCCTGTCACCGATCAGAGAGACCCTGTCCCTGATCAGAGAGGCCCTGTCCTGGATCAGAGAGACCCTGTCCTGGTCAGAGAGACCCTGTCCCTGATCAGAGGACTCCTGGAGTGCATTGCAGAGCTCTGTAAGCTGCTACAGCAACTTTCAAGCAAGTTGAACCACTGACTGGTAGGCAGTGCAGTGATGCCGGCACAGGAGTGATGTTAGACTCCTTTGTCTTCGGGCTGTTAACAACACATGACGCTGCTGTTACCAACATGTCTTAAAACGGTCAGGACCAGAACAACCCCCCACACTTACAGAGACACAAAGATACCAGCACAGACACACACTGAAATAGACAGCCAGAGATATACACACACAGACAGACACGCACAGTCACAACGACACACACGGACGGACCTAGACAGTCAGAGATACACACACAGAATCAAAGACACACACAGTCACACAGACACAGACCCAGACAGCCAGAGATATACACACACAGACAGCCCCACACACACAGACAGCCCCACACACACAGAGACACACACAGACAGCCCCACACACACAGACAGCCCCACACACAGACAGCCCCACACACACAGACAGCTCCACACACACACAGACACATACACAGACAGCCCCACACACACAGAGACACACACAGACAGCCCCACACACACAGACAGCCGCAGACACACAGACAGCCCCACACACAGACAGCCCCACACACACAGACAGCCCCACACACA